TGTGGGTGAGGCACATGAAAAGACGCGACATCCGGACGATTGCGAGGTGGCGCAAACGGGCAGCCTCAGGGGGTGGAATGGGGCGCGGCAGCTTCCCCCGACCCGAATTTCGGTCGCCTTCGAGTCACAGAGCGTCGGGAATCGTTCGTCATGAGGGCGATCAGATGCCCTCGCGGCACCCTTCGGCTCGAGCCGATTTGATCGAGATCACCTCACCGGCTCCGGGAGGCGCGCGGCGCCGCGGGTGACACGGCGCTCACTGCGCAATGCATGCGGCGTTCGGGCCGCGGCAACCTTGACAGGCCACTCGGGAGGGACATTCCAGGCGGTGTTTACTCGAGATGCCGCGGCCCGCTCGAGCCCTGGAACTAAGTTGGGCCTCTCGTCGGTCGCCCCCCACCATTAACGGCCGTTCTCGTCATCCACGGGCTGCCCCGACGCGAACTAAGTTGCTCGCCTTCGACCGATGGTCTTTCCCGAGCGACTCGCACCCGGGCCCGAGGCGCGGCAAGGTCCACAGACCGAGCGCCGCGCCAAGTCCTGGAACCGCTGCATCGGCTAGCGAAAGACGCGTTTTAGCCCAGATCTGACAAAACGAGCAAAGCCTGGGGGGGCTGATCTCAGATCAAGCCGGGTCTATTCGGAGCAGTTTCGGGCAAGGCGACGGACAAAAGAATCGACGCGTTTAACACAAGTTTCGACGCGTTTAACAAAAGATCTGCACGGCGCCGTCCCAAGCACACACTATCAGCAGGAGTGCGGAGGCAGCGTCTGAGCGCGGAAACGGTGTTTTGCATCGACGTCCTGCATGTGACGCCCTTCCAGCGCTTCCAGTGCGTCAGCACGCTGTCGCATACCTTCCGCGTCCCATGCAACTCCGGGGCTGCCCCGCATTCGCACGCGACGGCGGCGTTTCTGTCGTCGTGGGCTGCCTCGTCGCCGCCATGGGTGCCACAGCCGACGACAGCGACAACGTCGTCGTGTGCCTGCTACCGCCGTCGATGCGGTTCGGAGCGCTGCGTCGCCGCGCGGCCGCGGCGCGCGGCGCGGCCCGGCGCCGGCGCGAGGGCGCGGCCCGTGACCGGTTCCTGGCGGCCCGGGGCCGCGCGGAGCTCGCCGCGCTCGCGGCCTGAGCGGCGGGCCTGCGCGCGGCGGTCCGCGGCCCTGGGCCGCTTTCTCGCGGCGGGCGCGGGTCCGCGGCGCTCCGCGCGCGGTCGCGGCGCCGGCGGCTCGCGCGGGGCCTCGGCGCGTGGCGGCGGCGCTGGGAGGCGGCCGCGGGCGCCGCGGCGCTCCACCGCGGCGCGGCGCCGGCGCTCGGCCGCTGGTGGAAGGCGCGCGTCGCCGACGTCGAGGGCCCCGCGGCCGCGGCGGACGTCGCGGCCGCGCTCCGGTGCCTCCGCCACGTCGCGCCGGCCTCACGCGGCGCGCTCCGCGCGTGGCGCATGGCCGCGGCGGCGTCCGCGGCCGCCGCCGCGGACGGCGCGGCGCTCAGGAGCCGCGTCGCTGTCTGGCGGCGGCCGCGCGGAGCCGGCTCCGCCGGGGCCTCGCGGCTTGGGCCGCGGCCGCGCGCCGCACGCTCCGGCTGACGGTGGCGCGCCACGTGGTCCACGTCTAGCGGTCTCGCGCGCTCCGCGGCGCGCTCGCGGCAATCGCCGCGGCGGCCGCGGCCGCGGCGCTCGACGCGCGGCGCGGCGCGGTCGCCGCCTGGCCAAGGACGCCGGCTACGCGCCGCCGCCGCGCGCGCCGCTCGCCGCGGTGCACGCGGAGCCGACGCCCGACCTGCGAGGGCCGGAGTTCCTGGCTCGCGTGCGCCGCGAAGCCGACGCCGCCGCGGCCCACCCCATGCTCGTGAACGACGACGAGGACCTCGTCGTGGTCCAGCTCGAGGCCTCCGACGCCGTCGAGGACCACTTCGCGCGCGCCGAGAGCGCGGTGCTCGAGCTGATCCGCGACGACCGCGCGTTCCGCGACGCCGGTCGCGCGGACAGCAACAAGGCCGAGCTCGTCGTCCCCGCTTCCTCCGCTGGACACCGCGTGCTGGCATGTCGATGAATGGTCGAATCGCCGGCAAACTTTGTGGGATTGGGTGTGTGATCATGGGCCACAAAGGGAGGGCGTTTATGTACGGGAACGGCTGATGAGGCCCGAAATAAGTTCTTCCCAGCCGCTGGATGCCCCGCTGGACGCGAGGGGGTCGCGGCTTCGAATCCCCCTTCCGCGAAGCGGCGCGGACGGCGCGGACGGCGCGGACCGCGCCGCGCGGACGCGGCACGGGGTCACTAACTAGACCGAGCCTTCCGATCGTGCTCTCGTTCCTCGTTCCCTTACCTTAGGCCTCCCTTCCCTTCGATATCTCTCTGCGCCCCCGGCCGGCTAACCACACTGTCTACCCGAGTATCTCAGAGCCTACCCCACCACCCCCGCCGCGCGCTAATGCTATACTTGCGAGGTAGCAGTCCGGAGGTTAAACCCGGCGAATATTCGCCGACTAGCACCAAGATAGCTCCGTTGATCAGGCGAATTTCCCGCGTACCTAGCTGGTAACATATCCCGCCGGCGGGATATGTTAAACGGCGAGAGGGGAGCGTTTCCCAGCGCATCTATTCGGGCGATGGCTTTCGAAGCGGCTTTGTTTGGCCAATCGATTTCTGCTTTCTAAAGAACTCCACCCGCGCTCAAGACTGATAAAGTAACATGGACGGTGCCAGTCGTCTCTGATCTCAAGTCAAATCTGTTTGCGCTGGACGTCACCTAATAAACTAAAACTAAATGTGCGGGCTATTGGTCTGATATTCAACGCACCAACTTGTTTTTTAGGAATTGTGGATGTCCACCAATAAGCGCTGCTGTAATTCGCTGGTACCAGCTGCCGTAAGGTCGCCAGCATAGAATCTCAACGACGTGAGTTCCAACAAGTAGAGGGAGGTGACCTGAGGTGTAGCATTGTAAAAAAATTGTGAAGCAGGCAGGGGTGTCACAGAAGCCATAGCCCGCAAGCTCAAGCCTATGGAGCTCGTCTGTCTGGTAAACTTCTATGTGTAGCTTTGGAGCAGCTGCGACAACCTACACAAGACTTTCACGTTTCAGTTAACACATCGATTGCACCGGGTTTGACAGATGAAACGCGAAGAAGCACATCTACAGGGTGGTCAAAGATTGCGAGATTCCCCGCGCGTTCATGCGCATAGCACTGGCTATGACCCTGCCTTACGCCTTCGAGGATCCTCCAATCGTGTGAATGTTCTATGAACCAGCGCAGCTGCAACGTCTTAGTACTATTCGCGAAGTCTGTCGGATAATTTAAATTACTCGCACGACGATCGGAGACAGAATGCGCACCGGCTGTCTCGATGGTCCCAACATAATGTGTATAATGTGCGTCCATGACCGCGGGAGCGGTTGACATCAACTGATGGTATAGATGGAGTTCACTAATAGAAGCTTTCAGCAACAATGTGGTATCCCATTCTGGTATCCCATACAGACATCCATCAAACATCAGTCGATCTATCCGCAGGACGCATCTGAGCGGCCGAGAGAGTATGGCAGCCTTTGTGGTGGCGCAGCTCCGCAAATATGGGGAATTGCGCAACGATCTCAGCAGCTTTGAGGGCCGCACGCGCACGGACAACACACTGGTGAAAACGCGACATTCAGGCGATTGCGCGGCGACTCAGACGGGCGAGTTTAGGGGCTGGAATGCGGCGCGCTCGACTCCCCCGACCCCCTAAAGCTGTTTTCGAACTCGTGCAGCGACAGGGATCGTTTGTCGTCACTCCGGCATCGCCTTGTTAAAAGGTCTGGCCGGCGAGAGTCGAGATCGTCGAGTTTGTCTGGTCGGGGCTCGGGCGCCGCGGCTGCCCGCCGGGACACAGTGACGGTTCACGATTCCTCCAGCGCCAGTGACGCGAGGAGGTTGTCCCAGGACGTCCCCCGGTCGAGCGACCATCGCATCCAGCCGCACCAGGTCCTGGGACCGTTTGCATGTGGCGTGGACGCGCCGCAGCCAGGGGCAACCCGACCGCAGCGGCTTCGAGGCCTCCGAGGAAGCCGAAAGCTCGTCAGAGTGGCTATCGATGGTCACGAAGGCTGTATGAGTCGCCGCGCGGGCCGTAGCTCGCCATACATGGAGAATGCGACCAGGCTGCGACTTTTGCGAAAACGCAGCCCGGGCTGCGCCTGCGACGAAGTGGGCCGTCCGGTATCCACAGTCTGGTATCCGGATACCAGACTGCGGATACCTCGCTGCGGCTCGCCTTAACTGAAAGCTTCTAATCTAGCCCAAATTGAATCAGGAATGAAGGCCGACAAACAAATAATGAGCAACCGTTGGTGGCCACTGAGTATCCTGACTAGGGTTACATACTCTCCTGATACTTCCCTCCCTGTCTACGTATATTACAATAATACATAGCACAGGACACCAGGGGCACTTCCCCCCAACGGCCCCTCTCCAGCCCCGCCAACGGCCTCCCAACGGACAGTCCCCAGGGGCTTGGCCTCAACGTGGCCAAAGATACCGGCTCCGGCCACGCGGAGGGACCCCCTGGGTTGCTACCCCGGGCCCCGGGGAAGCGGCGAGCTGGGAGAGGACCACCACAACCAGCAGCTTTATTTGGCTGCATGATGATAGGTGGTCTAAGCCCACTAACTCGTTACCGGAAACATACATAATAGTTTATTCGACTGGTGGCAGATTCGTACAGCCTTTCGCAGCCCCTTGGCTCGCTTGAGGGCCGTCAGCGACGATCGAAGTCAGCCCGGTCCGACCCCCGGGGGGCTGATCCTAAAATGGATGCAATGAGCAAAGGCCAGTGGAAAAAATGATGGCCAACAGCATGCCACTAACCTGCCCCGGCTGAAATCTAGTTAGTTAGTCGTTCAACATTAGAGAGATAGAGAGATTTCTATCTTCATCTTCAGTGAACAGTGAACTGCATCTTGATGTTGCAGTGCACCTTACCCCACTGCGCTCCTACTGCGTATCCTGCTAGTTTTCCCTTCCCTTCCTTAATTCATTCTAATCCAGTTTCAAGTCTTATAGACAGCGAACTGAAGGAGTGACTGCCAAGCAGGCACAGAGTGCATAGCGCTCTTCTGTGTCTGTGGTGTCTGTCTGGTTAGCGTCACAGCGACGTGCCAGGTAGCACCAGGCTCAGCGAGGTTGCACAGTCGCCGGACAGTGCACCTGCTGGATAGTAGTTTGACTGACGTCATAGCGACGTTAGGAAGCTAGTAAACTATCCTAACTTTCTAGGTGTGGGCCGACGCTCGGCCTCCTGTGAAGCCTCGCTTCATTCTTTTCTCTTCTCTTTACCCGCTTCGCGCTCTTTTCTCTTCGCTTTCGCCTCCGCGCTTGCTTTGAGGGGGAGAGATGACGTCCGAAGGTGGCGAGAAAGAGGCCGCCGAGAAACGCGTTGCAAAGCTAGTCGCGGAAGCGGCGGAAGCTGAGGACAGACAGAATGTCACTCAGAAAGAGCTCAGAGAGCAGCTGGATGATACAGTTACATCCGCGCTTGAACGATTTGAGACAAGCTTCAAAGCCAGTATAGCAGAATCACTGGAGAGCGTAAAGAATGGTCTCAGGGATGAGTTTCATAGGTCACTCCCAGACTTCGGTATCATAAAGCAAGAAGCAGCCAATCTTAAGGAACAGGTGCACAACCTTAGTGACGGTCTTAACAGCCTCACAGCCAAGTTTCACGACCATGTGGATGACATAGAGAGTGCTGACCTGAAGAGGGACGCTGCACAAAAGACACACTTGCAGATACTTGAAGCAAAACAGAAGACCGTACTAAGTGACATTAGAGGCAAAGCCTTGAAAATAAAGGGAGAGTCTGTTGACACAGAGGACATAGTCAAAACAGTATTAGCACAGATAGAACCTAGGCTCGTCACGCTAGCATCAGGTCAACAGCAGCTTCCAAGAAGTCACGGACCCGAACTTTCAACAAACGAGTTCTATGGACAGGCGCCCAAGTTTCCTCAGCATCTACTACTAAGTGACCGTACCTCACACATACACGCTGCTATAGAGGAGGGACATTACTTCAAGGTAGGTGTAAACCCTGAGCTGCAACTGTCTAAGTTCAAACAGCAAAATATCAACTTCTCCCGACTAGCGGACATTGAGAAACCATGGGAAGAGTACATTTATGGTGCAGATTACTTTCATAGATATCAGCAAGAAGCCAAGAAGATAGTTTCAATCTATGATGGAGAAAGAGACATAAGTACACATGGTGGAAGAGGCTACAGCTACGTCTACATAGGCACTCAGGCAATTCTCTTTGGGAGAACAGCTTTTGATACGCTACAAGCCAGGATGAAAGAAATCCTCAAGGAGACAATCCCTCTTGAGGATGAGTCAGTGATTCCAAAGTACTCGTGCCCAGACTGGAAGGGTCCGAACAAGAATCCGAACTCATCTCGATTCATGACTCAGGAACTACATTTGGAAAACGCAGTCAGAGCTAGTAGACTAACTCTTATTTTTTATAGGGGGAGCATGGAAAGACTGAGCTCAACTAACCTCCAGTACGAGCTACTGGAAAAACATCTCGGACAGGAAGAAGTCTCAAATGGCGTATTTCAGTGGATGCAGAAAGTAATTATAGGCGCCACCGTGTCCAATCTGTGAAGCCAACAAGGGGCAAATCCCAGTCATTCACCACAGCCCATCTTGGCATGAAAACGAATTGGGATACACGCCGCTGCAGGCTCTCATGATAGATATATGGGACAGCCCTGTCAAATCAATGCTGGACGGATTCACATACATACTGGTATGCGTTTGCATAAGAAGCGGTCTGGTAATAGACATAGGCATGAAGAGACTTAACGCTGATCACTTCATCGACGCCATCGTTAAGGTCTACATGCTAATTCGGTATCTGAAAGGACACCGTGACCTGGCACTTACTTACACCAAGCAGGGGAGTGGTGCTTCACTACTATTCGCTTTGAGCGAAACCTATCCCGAACTTACCCATTTACCTTCCTGAACTTCAATCATCAAGTTGAAGCTACAAACCCCTGGAACTTGAAGAAGCCAGTACAACGTGCTCCTTGGCGCCCGCCGGTCGCAGCCGCAATGACACCGAACGGAGAGGCATGATATGGTCATATGGAAGCTAGCACCAGGGAGGGGCTGCCCGGCCCCTGATATAGGGCTCGGCGCCACTGGCGCCGCCTTGTCCGAAATTCGTGCATTGTGGCCGATTTTGAGAGAAAATTCTCCGATGGCCGTCAAAATTTGTACTGCGCGCGCGGCCGCACGCGTCCGTAGGCGTACTAGAACGCCCAAAGAAAACCTCGCCCCGCACCCAAATCTAGTCTAGTTAGTCGGCATGCTGTCTACCCTAGTTAAAATAGATGGCCTTTGCAATGAGTGGTGGAGACGCTCATTTGCTCGCGCCCTTTGATGGGAGCTGTCAGAGGGCGTTTGTTGCTAGCTTGGCAGCACTGCACCGAACTAGCACCTCATCAGCAGCAATACCGCTAGGTCTCTTGGGGTTTCGTACCATCGGAAGCATGCGGCGCGCGTTACTTTGCCAGGGTGCAATTGCTTGGTCGGCAGCTCTTCCCCTGCTTGGAGAGGGAATAGAGACAACACATGTCACGTCTGCGCGTCACGCGTATCGTTGTTCGGTGGCTGCAGGGTTAGGCCATGAAGCATCTAGAGAGGTACTAAACCGAAAGACCGCCGATATAGTCTCTATAATTCTCTCAGCGGCGCATCGACTAGCAAATACCTCTGAGGGGTGCAAGCAGCTCTCTATAACAGGGCTTTTCCTAGATTTGCATGAACAGCCAAGAAAGTCAATAGGCAGGCAGCTCGATGAAAGTCAAGCAGTCCTTGCCGGGCGCATCGCAAAGGAAGCAACTCGCCTTGAGCTACGCAGGAGGCGCCACATGACTCCAGCGGCAGCACTTCGCACGCCGGTTGCGGTCGAGCTTGTGCACGCTTATGATAGTGCCGCTCTGAAGCTTGCCAGTTGTGGTTTCTGCATCATAGATGGCGGACTTTCTCTATCAGACTCCCGTATGCTCTATGACCACTTCAGTGGCGCTCTTCATCGTGGTGAACTGTTTGGTCCTGTTAGCAGTGATGCGTGCAATAAAGGGTCCTTTTCTCTGTCGATTCCCATAATCGTTGGCGCGGGACCTGGGCCAAATAACGAACTCATAAAGCAAGAAGTAGCGCGCCATCCTTCCAAAGCTGGTGCGTTTGCCAAGGCGTGTGCCCTGCGCAACGCTCTACGCGTATTAATTGGGCTACCTTCAGAGATCATGGACAGGTTGAATGCAAAATGCGGATCTTTGGTATCTTCTGAGGTTCCTCCGACAGTCTTGTGCGCATGCTATCCGCCAATCACAGGCGCCTGCTACCACAGGCACAAAGACTGGTATCCTTACGAAACCTCAAATCACCGATATCTTACAGTCATGTTATATCTGAACCCGGACTGGGCCGAGGCAGATGGCGGCGAACTTGTAGTTTATAATAATTCTGGCATACTCGAAACGATTCTCCCCATTGCCGGTCGCATGGTCGTTTTTTTTAGCCGCACCATTTGGCATGAAGTTCGGCCTGCCAAGATGCGCAATCGTTTCGCGTTTACACTCTGGGCCGACAGCGCCGAACTGGGGCCTGGCTCGAAGAGGGCCTAAGCGCCAGCTTTGCCACTTGGATCCGCTGTCTGGAAACGTCTACAAAACGAGTGCTGAGAATCGACTCGTTCGAGCTCTAGAGCTCAAACAAGCTCACAACCGATGCCTTCCATGGAATTCATAACGCTACTACACCACATGTGGCTGTCGAGCTGAGCTGCAGTAATTTTTAAGTTGAACCTCACCACGCCTATGTTGCAGTTATGGAGGTCGTGTGGTCCATATGAGCCATTCGAGGCGCCTAGAGCACCGGACAAGCCGCTCCATCGGTCTCCGAGCACGTCCGTGAAGCCCTGCGGCCCATACACTGCCCGGTGGCGGCTGCTGACGACCACTGTTTACCGGTAACGCAACATAGGGCCGTCTGTTCAACAACTTCAGTATGGGGCTGGGCGGAGCTCCACGACGAGCTCTCTCTCTCTCTCTCTCCCGGGCCGGCTCGAACGCGGGAAATTCGACGCCTTCTAGTTTGGACCCCACCAGCGGACCCCACCCGGCCCCCCAGCGCCTGAGTAAAGCCCCCAGCCGCCGACCAAAAATTGTCGGGGGCGTTTCGGGTTCCTTGGGGTCCCGCCCGGCTCAGGGGGGGGTTCTGGGCGGGGTTCTGCCGCCGCCGGCGGCCGCGGAGCCTCGGGGCTTACTAGAACAAACTAGAACGGTTCTAGTTCCAGTATGCGGCTCCGGGTGCCCGGAGTTTCTAGCCACGATGCGAGACACAGTTACCGCGCCCGGCCTATCTGGAGAGGCCTCGGGGTGCGGGGGGGTGGTCGACACAACAGGGGGAGCGAGGGGGGCATATCAAATCCTGGAAAGACCTCACCTCAGAACGCAACTCATCGCCCTTCAGAAAGGCAAGGTCCCTGGCCTGATCAAAAATTCGATCCACGGGTGTCAAGACTATACTCCGGTCTGAAGCCGGCTCCCTCTCCCCCCCCCCAAGCAAATTTGCAGGGACGTAAATTTGGGGTCAGGGTGTGAATCAAAACTCCGGTCTTTAACCCGGCTTCGGTCAGTGTTGGACGATGGCGCGCGCGCCCAACCCCATGGTCTTCAGACCTGAAACTTGGCAGTCTTAATCTCACCCCCCTTCTCCCAAATCGTGCCAATGCACACCCTCCCTCGAGCCAAAATGCAGTCGCGGGGATCGTCCATAGCTTGATTAATTGAGATTGCTGGGTTTTACGTAGTGCTTGTTAGAGATATGATATGATTTGCTGACTCGGGGTCAGGGGGCTCCTTTCTGCGTTTCTCCTCCTCGATTATCTCGTCATTAAGGTCGCTCAAGAAACCGTGAAGCCCTTCCTCAGAAAACTCTGATCTATCAGAATTCTCATATGGTACTAATTCAAACATCAAAGCCGCTTGGCAGGAGTATGTCGGTATGGATCGGCGCAGACAGGGCGGAGCCGTCCTCTGACGACATACCCATAGCCACATAACTCATCACTCAATCCCAACCCTTGGATGTTAGTAGAAACCATATGACCCAAAAAATATAAGCCGCGCCACCCCGGACCCCGGGGAAGCGGCGAGCTGGGAGAGGACCACCACAACCAGCAGTTTTATTTAGCTGGATGATGATAGGTGGTCTAAACTCACTAACCCGTTACCGGAAACATACTGTACTGCCGTAAATGCAATTTTTTACGTGAGCCGTCGCCACGGCGTTTTTTCGCGTGTGTTTTTTAAGCGGGGCCGTTTTTTTGTCTTATTTTTTTTTTTCCGCCGGGGGTCCGAGATGCAAACGGCGTCGATTTAGACTAGAAAAAAAATTGAGCCTACAGTCACCCACTTTAAATAGCCAGGGAGGGGCATACTGGCCTCCGATGCCAGTGTCATCTACCTAGCACCACACAAACACAGCAAGTACCAACTCCAATCGCAGTTGAACATGGTTCCAAATCTGAAACCTAGATCCCGAGCTAGATAACCTGATAACCCTGCCACGTTTGTCACAAAGCGCCGGCGAAGTTGCTAAGCGACAAGGTCTATTTGCCAATCAGATCATTCGACTCGCTGTTTTCTGGGATTGTGTCGGTCGGATTGCCAAAAAGCCCGGGCGGGAGCCAGACGTTGCACGAGTCATCTCCGAGCATGAAGCGTTGTGACGCCAGCTCGAGGAGTTCGCTCGTCGGGGGATTGTGCCCTTGAGTGGCTATCATGAGGCCAAAGGAGCCAGCCTGCCACACAGCGCCATCACGACCGCCAGTGCCGGCATCGTCCCATATGAGCCTGGGTGGAGAAGTAATTGGTCTGCACCACTTGCGAGGAACGCAATGAAAGTCTTGAGTGGACGGAGCCTTCTCATCTCCAGTACCAACCATGCCAAGAGCGACCTACACATTTTAGTTGTCATTACGTGCAATACAGCAAATTGGTGCTCTTGCGCTGCTATGCGCAAAGTCAGACGATGGTGGTATGGCCGCCCAGACATACAGATGCTTGTCGATGCGCTTGCCAATCGTGTTCCACACCTGGCGCCAGCGAAGCGGCGGCGGGAAAAGCTTCGCTACGACAGTAGCCATCGAATCAGAGGTCTTAAGTCTCAAAACGTTGAGGTCTGTGACCTCCAGGGTCATACGATGCTGCTTGGTGTCTCGTGCGGGATCTCTAAGGCCCTTGTGTGCATAATGACCAAGATTAAGGCGATGTCGATTAGCCTTGTGGAGGCCGAGGCTGACATTCGGTGCCCAGACACCGCACTCCGTATGCGCGCCAACGCCACGTGATGACCAGACATAATTGAACTGAGTCTGCAAGTGCGCCTTGACCTTAACCTTCGTAAGTGTTGCCTTGGAAACGGCCTTGAGAGCAAAATTGCCCGCGCCCTCGCGCGCAACAGCGAGTTCAACGATCGGCTTGGGCACAATGCCGCCCGAGGGTACTGTAGAGGCAACAGCGCCGGCCAGAGATCTGCGGCGGTCAAGCTTAGCAGCCATTATGTCATAGTCCTCGTCATCGCCACCACCCATGAATGCCAATCTGAATTCCGGCAAGGTCAAAAGGCCATCATTATCACGGTCCAGAAGACGCATGAGCTCGTATATGCGATCAGCAGACAAACCAGACACACCGAGCCACTCGAGTCCACCCCAGAGTTCGCCACAATTCACAAGCCCGGTGCGATTTGTGTCGAAAGCCCGGAACGCATCGACGGCATGAAGATTTTTGCCTGCAATCGCTGTTGCGACACGTGTTCGAGTGCAGCGAAGTGCGAGGCGTTCAAACTCATCTTCGGCACGAAAGAGCGCGGCGAGACCAAGGGCATCTGATGGAAGATTTGCCACGAAGGTTGAGGCACCTCGAATTCTCGGGTCCCCTGCACCCAACGCTAGGCCGGGAATTTTGGGGCGACGCCGACAAGCACGCACTTCGTCGTACCATATCTTGCGCGCCATGGGTTCGGTGTGTTGTACACCAGCTCGGAGCACTGCATCGACAGCCGCATCACTAAAGTGATGTTCACTGTCTAAAAATCGCACAGCCTCGAGCACGGATGTAGTCTGGTACGCTCCACGTTTGCTCGGTACTATACGCGAGCGTGGGACGCAAAAGACATCAAGTGGATAACCTGGGGCACTTGTATTGTGAAGCATGATGTCACAAGCCGGCAGGCCTGGCGAAAAATCCACATACCGTCGCTGGTGTGTGTGCGCTCTGACTACCTCCGCCTCGGGCAGCGACAGGATGACGTAAAAGCGATTTTGAGCTGGTCTGTAAACCGCCCGAGTCAGAACCGCATGCTTGAAAGCCTCGAGCGTGCAGCTTGTCGTAGACATGTCTAGAGCCACAGAAGGTCGCTCGCGCAAAGGCACGTCAAGAGCTTCGAGGGCATTATCTAGCGAGTCACCCTGGAGCTCGCCTAAGGCGTCAGCATCCAACATGTCAAAAGCCCGTGCAAGGTCAGTTTCATTGTGAGTTGATAACGAGGGGGGGCGTGGTAAACATGGCATCTTAGAAACATCGCGGTTGCTGTCAGGAACCCACTCGAGGACCACCATCGCATTCTTGAGGCGTCGGTGGGTGTGCAGGCCCCAAGCGGCTTTATAATAGTTTTCGCTGAAGAAAACACCCTCTGGGAAGCTGCAGGTTCGAGGTGTCTGACCAATCGCTGTGAAGACGCCAAATGTTGACAGGGGCTTGAAGCATACTGGCACTGCCTGTATCCCAAGTTCCTCGAGGTACCAGGTCGTTGGCCCTTCAGTGTCACGCTGATATTTGCGAGGAACGAATTCACAGGGAAGTTCCTCCTGTTCCTGTTCCTGTTCCTGTTCCTGTTCCTGTTCCTGTTCTTGCTCTTGTTCCTGTTCCTGTTCTTGCACCTGTTCTGAGTTCAAGGAGCATACTTCTGTCATCGGTGCGGAATCGGTGCTCGCCCCGACCCCATCTTCGAGACTCGATTCCGCCCCAAATGGCCTTGACTGATCAAGCACATGAGCAATGATTTGACGGTCATGATCAGTGACGATGAGAGCTCGATGGCATTCAACAAGGGCAGTGAGTTTAACATGGAAGTCAACGGAAGTTGGAATCGTGTTCTCGACTCGGTAGTCAAGTCGCTCACGAAAGACATCTAGGCTGGCACGATCACGTGGCGTTGCGGCGACACTACCGACGCGCCGACGAGCATCGCCACAAAGCTCACGGTACGCATTCTTCCGCCAGATATTGGCGAGTCTTTGTTCACTCAGGAGATTGAATTGAATTTTCTCAGAGCGCATCCCATTGAGGACAAGCCAGCCCATCAGCTCGGGGAGGAGCAAGCCATCTTGATCTAAGTTCCCCTTGTTTAAGTCTGTTCGGAGTCGCTCGAGATGGGTCAGGGTGTCCATCGACGAAGGTGTCATCGCAGTGGCGACAAGATTCAGTATTTCAGGAGCTACGAGAACCAGCAGCGTCTGGCCTTTCCCAATACCACGCATTCGAAAGGCGCCTTGAGCATAATCCCGAAACTATGATGAAATACAATCAGCGTAACATAATGGTATCCAAACAATAAAAAACAGGATGGGTGGGATTTGGGGGATTCGACACGGTGACTCACTGTCATATCCTTGGCAAGCGTGATAGCAGCCCTTGAGTCAAGTCCTTGCTTGATGTCCATGCCCGTCGTATGGATCTGATCATAGAAGCAGAACCTTCGCTTGGCAGGAATGCCACTCTGATCGAGAGGCAGTGTGCGGCACCCGTCTCTCACTAGTATCATTTTTCGGTCCGCGTCGTCTAGGTAAACGACCCCGTCGAACTTCTCCGCGGGCAACGTAGGGAGCGAACCAAATTTGCCTTTCCCGAACAGCAGTGCCTCGGCAACGTCGCGATTCCCATAGCCAGTGACAAGGGCACCGGTGTCGATCAGCGCAGAAAGGTCGCCCTGAGCGCAGCGTGAGAGGACGGAGTCCGCATTCCAGTCATTCGGAAGCGGTGCTGAAGCGCAGACACTAGAGTCAGATAAAATCGCAACCATTTTACCATCGGATTCGCGTTCGTAACAGCATGCACCGAGCTCCAGAGGCAGAAGCTCTGAGGGCGTGCCGCTGAATCCAAGGCGAGTCCCAAAAATGAGGTCGCCGCCAAGGTCCTGTCCACAGGCTGAAAGTTTGAGCCCCTGGTGAGCACAAGTTGCTGGGAAAACGTGTGTATGTAGGTAGTGGCGCGAGACCAGCGGGACCTTGCGCAGTAAGCAGAACAGTGCATGTAGCTGCTCCTTGTCGTGTACATTTACTATGTGCAGTGGCCAGATGTCGTCATATTTCATGCCACTGCAAAGTCCATCATCATATTCAAAGAGCAAGTCAAAAAGCTGGACCTCAGATCGTCCGGCCTTGACCTTGGGTACACGAGGCTCGCCCCCACCTAACCCCCCGGGGCCTCGTACCCTTCCACCGGCAACTCTCACCCAAAGCGCAAATTTTTTACACGCAGGGCGCTTCTCGTACGGCCCTGTTTCGGCCGCCATGGTCTCCCGTAATAACCTGAGGACAATTGCAAAGTCAGTCACGCGAAGGCCCTCATAACGGTATGCAAGAATTGTCAGTCCGATAACCACATCTGGTTGGCTGAATTCCGAGGCGCGACTCGGTACATCTTTGCCCACAAATGGCACGGCGCAAAGACGCCGGCTCACCGGCGTACGTGCATCGTTTAGTCGCTCAAGGTCGCAATCAGCAAGCAGGCCAAACGAGACGCGATTGACCTTACCCAAGACGAAGGGAAGAATATTTCGCAACCATTCAGACATGAGATTGAGGAGCTTCACACCTTCATCATCAACGTTCGTATTGACGGTGGCTCTGTTTGCTGCACCGCACGTTGCGCCACCTTGCGTTAGGTAATCAAGTGCGACAGCGTCTTCGATTCCACGAAGTCCAGCGGTGCGCAGGTAAAGCAGTGCCCAGCCCGCGAGAGGCCTAAGCATCTTGGAATCGTAGAAGCGTCGACTCAGCACTACCACATGCGGTGCTAGTTGTACAACTTTATCTTTTATGCCATCCCCGAGAGCGCGCTTGACAGTTTGAAGGTGATTGTGGGCTTCAATCGATTCAGAAAAGTCGCCAACGCTCAGGTCATGGCCCGCGCAGAAAAATATTGCATCGAGGAGATGGTAGGGCGCAAGCCATCGTTTCCCGAGCGCACCCGTAGCGGGGGACACAGTGAAGTCGAGCGGAGCCTTGCTACCCAGTGGCCAGTTGAGCTCCGATTTGAGAGGATGGAGAATTAAGTCCACTTCATCAAGGAGACAATGACTGCCATTGAACAGGTGCAGGACTTGGGCGCCAATCTCAGCTTGGGACCGAAGCACAACTTCATCAATTTCAGAGCCATCGGCGCCGCGCCGGCGCCAAAACGAGAATATTCCCGTCTGTTGCTGTGGACGTTGTACTCCGAAGACTGTACGCGTGATCGAGCTCATCTAGCAATTCAAGCAGTTTAAGCATGAATGATTTTATAGCAGTCGGCGATGCACAAAGCACCGCTCGCTGAAGAGCAGCACACTCAAGCTTCTGTGAAAAGGTCAAATTTAGCTCTGTATAGCGGTCGAAACGTAGGGTGTATACAGGTTTCTTCACGATGATCGAAAAACGCTCTCGCATTGTATTTCTAGAGAATTCAAGGAGAGCGTGTGGCACGACTTGACAAACGAGCCGCGCGCCATCGCCTAGGAAAAGCGCAAGGAGAGGAGATACGACCGTCGTCTTACCGCCGCCCATGATCATTTGCTCGCAGTGTGATACGCCCTTGCACGCAGAGGACACAAAGGTTTCGACTAGACGGCACTGCGCAGGTCGCAACAGAAGGCCATGCACGAACTCAAAGACCAGGAGCCGCGGGTCAAAATGAAAGAGCGCACCGTCACCAACGCCATCAAATCGACAGTAGGGTCGCCTTGAATCAAGCTCTTCGGCAAATGCACGTGATCGTAGGGTAATTTCAGCAACATCGGGCACCGCAGATACCAACGCAGCACAAAGTGACTCGGCTGCTGCGCAACATCGACCCAGCTGTGCAGCGCGGCTCGCAGCGAGGAGCGCGCGGACTGAAAGCTCTCGCACCACAGCAACCCCTCGGGCCCCAAGACTTGGATTGGCGTCATTGAGTTCACCATCACCATGTGTGTCGAGAAGCTGCTCTACCAAAGATTCAAACCAAAGGCCTGCTTCAAGTCCACCACGAATCTTTAGAGCCCATGCTTTATCTCTCACGCCACCGCCACCCTCCCCAGCGGCGAGGATGGACAATTCTGCCGCCTTCTGTGTATAGGCTGCATCTGCAGCACGCAAGACTAGCAGGCGCCGCGTGAGCTCAGCGACGCGTTCAAGATGCGGCTGGGGCGCTGTAGCCGCATCGGCAATCTCGCTTAGAGTCGCAAGACCACGGATCATGGGCGTGGTACGCTCCCTTTCTGCTGCTGCATACTCCGCTGCATCGACCTCAAGACGCGCAAGTGTGCGCCTAGCAACCACTGATTGGGCAGCAACATTGGCACCTACCTCAAACGGCAACCTTCCAGACACCTCAGTCGAGCTGGAAGGGATTCGCGTAATGAGCTCTGTGGTGAGGGGTAGAACAGAAGCCAAGGGACGATCGCCGCATGCTATGACATCCGCGTCACAGAACTTCGCACAAAGCAGTGCAGCAGTGTGGACTTTTGTACCTGCCTCGAGTCTAAGGCGCGCAGGATCCACGTCGGTGGCTCGGTGTACTGCACGTTGTGGCATTGCAGTGTCAGCTAGATATCCAACACTGCGCCAAGAGCGAGCACCATTTGCGATGACTGCATCGAGAGCAATGACAGGAAGGACCGCTTGTGCCGGGTGCGCGCGATATCGTGGAAGACGCGCTAGGTCTGCGCGTTTGCTTGAGAAGTACTGTTGCACGTTCCTTAATAACTTCTTCGCAACGTCCTGTCCGGCAACTATAGTCGTGAGCTTGAACTTGCGTGTATCGTCAAACTTGGGCATGCCAGACACGAGTGAAGGTGCCGCACATGCCACGTCTAAGATTGCTCGGAGTTTGCCGGCAAGCGAACCTGGAGGAGCTTTGACGCCACCACCGCGCGCATCTTCGGGGAGCAGCGCTACGAGATAAGAAGCCAGTAGATATGGTGAGTCTTCAGACCGGACGCCAAATTTGAGCGTGCCCGTTAGCAATTCGTACAAAAAGAGAAACCCCAAAGCGCCTTTGCCTCCCTGAAGTTCAACGCCGTGGTCGAGTACCGCACAGAGGCGTCGGCAGCATGCCACGCCCGTGACCTGAATACACGAGATGTGATTATGTGGTAAAAAAGTTGACACGATTAAGAATCTCGTCTAGACAGTTTGACTTAGCGCAGACAAGTCTTTTAAGTCTTATAATCAAAACTGATATTTGTTTTACAGACAGTCCTTTGCCTCCTCGGGCCGTGAGTAGCTGAGTGTCGCAAAGTTAGCCATAAACGACTTCGCGTCTAGGCCCACAACACGCGCTGATGCGTCCGAGGGTGGGCCCTCTGGACGATGCTGCGGGTAACGCAGACTCACTCTCCACACTGATGCGCCCATAACGCCCAGCTTTGGCTCTCGTGGCGCATCCGCGCGGAGAGCAAGCCGCAAGAGGTCGCGCCGATTCAGCAGGAGCCAGCCTGCCTCGTCACTGACATCGACAACACCTCGGGCGATACCACTTAACGATTCTATTGCCTCGAGCTCATCACGGGGAGTGAGACGGCACGGCATACTGACACGATCCCGTGACAGAAAGTAAAGACGCGCGTCACGGGTAACGTCCCAAGCGGGCATCATGACGTTGGCAACGGCCGCAGTCACAAGGGCAAGCCGCAGGCGCGTGGCTATAGCGTCGGGCGCTTCATCGTAGGAGAGTGGGCGGAGGCGCTGCCAGAGCTGGAGCTCGTCAGGAGACAGTGGTGCATCCGTGACGCAGCTCGTGCAAAGGCGAAACGCGTCGGCATAGCGTCGCGAAAGGAGGCGGACAACTAAAAGATGGAGAGCAGATGCAACAGAGGGCGCAGCAAGACACGCATGTGAACTGTGGATCGGATATAAGTAGTGTCGGGCATCTAATGAACTGAGGTTTCCTAGCCACTCAGTATCACGCCGATCAAGAAGCATACCTCGGGAAGTAACCGGTGCTGATTTCTTGGATGCGTGACCAGCTCGTACTTCGTCTGCACACAATGGCTTCGCAGTCGCCGGCACCATGGCTACCAAAGACTCATCACGTCCCTCAAGAACGAGCGCGTGCGGACAGCCACGAATGAGCTCGCTAAGTGCATCATCCGTGCCTCTATAGACCTTAAATCCAGGGTGATCTACTGAGTTGAGATCTCCATTAGGGGCAATAGCAAACTTAACACCAACACGTGGAAGTTCTACCAAGCTTGGGTTTGCAACATCACCGGGGCCAATCCTGGCGCCATAACTCCAGAAAAGTACATGAGAGAGATCGTCAAGACAACCAAAAACATGCGCTATTGTATGCAACGGTGAGTTTGGGGGTGCGTGAATTGCATTAAGAAGCGTCATGGGTGCCACGGTAACATCAACTGCGGCAAGGCCGAGTGCCTCCTCAGCCGACCCAGCTGAGAGAAGCGTATCGCTTGCGTGTCTTGAGTAGTCGAAGCCTGTGGCGACAAGCGTAGGCATCTGCCCAGCGTGCACCGTTTTTAGAGGGACGCGCACTGCAATAGCCACAGCAGATGCTTGACCCATGCCAGTAAGATCTGGTGCACCTATATTGACGAGACGGACTCGAAGAACTGAGGCAGGTTCAGCACGTGGCCGCGGGGCTGAGATACTGTCTTCTTCGCCAAGAGTATCCGAAGCCGGATAGCCGACGAGGTCGTTATTGGCATTTTGCCAAAATACATACTGGTCAAGAAGTGCTCCAGGCAACAATCCGAACAAAAAGCGCTTTGGAATGTAAGCTTGTTCTCCGAGATCTGCATGCAGATGACGAGAGACAACTAGAGAGGGCTGTGGCGGCGCAGGCCTCGCCGCATCACCGACCGAGAGCGAAGGGCAGGCGCCAGCTTTTGCGTCGGACTCTGTGCGCGGCGCGGCCTCCAAGGCGAGGCCACCATCGCTGTGCATACAGCGGCTGGCGTCGGATGCAAACACCAGGGTCCTGTAGAACCGCCGCCCGTGCTCAACTACATTAAACACGTGGACAGAGGGTGGCGATCGGATGACCACCACCTCTTTCAATGTATGTACGACGGATTCGATCGCATGCGGCACAGCCTCTTGGTCCTTCTTTGAGCGAACATAATTCCAGGGCCGTCTTGCTTTTGAATCCACGGTTGAATCACCTGACTGGCCTTCAGCAGTCACCGCTGTTTCATCTTCACGCTCGGCCGCCTCAGCGGCGGCAAGAACGGCCCTTTCTCTCAGGTCCAGACTAGGTTTCTGTTTGAGCTGCCGGATCGTTTCCCGCCGAGCAGCGCGTTCGGCTACAGCCTTGGCCTTGGCTTCAATTGCGTCAAGTCCATCCGTGGATGCTGATAGGGGCGCGTTTGTCACCTCATCAACATTTTCCCCCCCGTCAGAAATAGCCTCAAGCTTGTCGCTTTCGTCAAAACTATTCTGGAAGGCATTATCCGCATCTGCATCATTGCTGGCGGCCTTGGGCACGTCAGCAGAGGATTTTGCTTGAAGCACCGCAAAAACTTCATTCGGTGCACCAGCGTACGTCCAGCGACCACTAAGATCGGCGAAGTAGCGTTGTCGCACGGGCTCGAATGCGGCGGATATCCAGGCGTGTATTCCATCGGTCGTCGCTTTGGGGGCATAAAGTTTGGTGGTGCCAAGTGCTGCGGGGAATCGCTCCGAGTCTGCGTCCCAATGCTGGAGATCATGGCGTCTACCCACGAGTCTGAGCCACGACCGCCGTGTAGTGTTGCGGACCTCAGCACACTGAATCCGCCTGCGGGAGTATTTGCGAAGTAAGATGGGATGCTCATATATGTTCGCGCGTGTCGCTCGCCCTCACGAGTAGGAAGCTGTCAAATTTCAATGGGGAGTAGGAATAAGTTGTGTTCGCGTGGCGCGCTTCGGAAGGAGTTTAGATTGAAGTTATACAGTGCGCCGAATAAATGCTGCTCGGACGAAGGTGGACCAAAAATATCTACAAAATCGGGTAGGCGCCGAAGGCGGTGATCCAGAGATCGCACGGCATGCTTCTTGAGCGTGAATTCGCCAAATTGGACGTTCACCTCCGTGTCAACTGCGGTAGTTGTTACCCGCCTGAGCCACTGTTCGAACATCTCTGCCGGCCGTGGTTGAATGGCAGCGGCAAGCTGGGAAGCCTCCGTGTCAGGCACGTACCGACCCGCACATCCAGGAAGTGCCATGGCATTCCACGAACGTGCAGATAGTTGTGATGCTACAACAGTGCCGCATCTTGCATTCAATTGTGCGGAGGACAGATCCGGGTTGTCCTCAAGGACCTCACTACGCCGCGTGAAAGTAATGGTACGAACAACGGCCTCGAGCGCTTCAGCGCGCAAAGGTGCTGAAGCATCCTCGAGCCATCTTATCAGCCCTCGACGATGGCGAGCAAAGATATCACAAATTTCGGTCTGGGGGACCCCAAGCTCGGCGTTGTGGCGTTCGACGAAATCGGCTCGATTTCTCCCGCATGGCAGACGAACGTCTTTTCCATCTTGATCGATGGGCGGTGGAGGCTCGGGTTCCGAGTCGAAGGTGTAGTGCACATTTAGAAATATCTGCGCCGTGAGGAGAGTTGCCACTGATCTCTGGTCAAGATCAGTTTCAAGGGTGTTCTTGTAGACGTATGCAAGATGAGCATAGACAATGCATGCCGTGCCCAACTGCTGGGCATTAGTCGCGTGGCGCACCCAGTGTGCGAGTAAAGGGAAAGCGCGTAGTTGGAGCTGATTATGCCACCTCATCACTGCGGCATCCATAATTGCCAGCGATGCCTATGCACCCAAATCTATAGGACCAGGCAAGCTTGTGAGCATATCGCCAGACCCAGCTATGGCACCTCGTCACAATCTAAACCGCGCGTTTCTCCTAGCCACATCATCTCTGCAGACAGTGAGTGGTCTCGAAACGCGTGCTTGCGCAGGAGGAAAAGACAGAAACTCTCGACCTGCGAATGATTGGACGGCGATCAGATGTCTTCACTGAGGAGGTTGATTTTAGGCACGGTCACTCACACGGACAATTGTGCGGATAACATAGAGAAGCACAGCTCCTGTCGTTCGCGAATATCGGCCCGTGTCGAGGTTGAGCGCCTGCGAGTTGGAAGTGTTGGCACATTGAGCAAATATGAATTTTTGAAAGGTCGTTCACCACACAGTTCGCTGCATTATCAAGAAGGACATCAAGTGAGCTGACTAGCCCCGCGGGCGCGCAGCGAAGCTCATTGAATAGAAGCCCACAGGGCGTCGCAAGAACACATCTCTCTGGTGCTGGCACGGCAGTCGGCAGGCCAATACTAGTCGGCGGACGCCAGAGGCCTGGCTCAAACAGGCAAGCATCAAGAACATCACGGAGTTCAGGAGAGGCAAGCGCACGAAGGCGAGCGTGATCGGAAAAAAAGCGCAGAATCAACGGAGTGCGAATATATGGTGCAGTCAGATATGATAGCATAAGCTCCGAATCTCGGCCGTTGAGGTGGCCTCCAAAGTCGGGTAGATGTCGAACGTGCAGCACATCTTCCTCTGTTTCCACTCTCGCACCAACGAGCACGCTGGGGTCACCCCGTGAGGGTGGCACCCGTGGTAAACTGCCCAGACCGACGAAGTCTAGGAAATGGTTCCAAGTCGATCGCTGTTGTCGAGCCTCCTCAGCTGTGCGGGCACTGTTCGAAGCTGGTGCTACAGTGAGAACCTGACCAAAGGCTCTGCAAATAATTGGGCGTGGTGGGATTTGATAACCAGCCTTGCGTTTGGGCTTAGGTTTCGGTGTTGACACCTTTGAACGCCAAACCAACACGCCATCCTCAGGTCTCCATGCGCGGACTGGTGGAAGAGCGTCAGACGTAGGCACCTGGAGCGCCTTGAACGCGAAGACCACGTCGCGGAAACAGGCGAGCTCTGGATAGGCACCAACCTGCAGAAGCAGAGCTATAGATAGGACCGAGATACATTATTTAAAGAAGACCCCGGCGACGATGCAAGTTCTTGTCGCTCTCCCGTAAGATAGACTTCGGGTTGGTCAAGGAGTGGCATGCCTGTCTGGAGACAGAGTTGGTTAAGAAATGTACGGTCACCTGCACCAAGGATGCCCGCACGCTCGAACGCAAATACCATGCCCTCGGTTGGTACTGCCGCTCGCAGTCCCGCGAAATAGTCGAGAACCATCGTGCGAGCTGCACAGAGGTTGGGCTCGGCGAAGGCTGAATAGCGCGATTCAACATCATAGACACCAAGATCGAAGCCGAATGGTGACGTCGGGCCCGGAGCTTCGCCCGAATAGTGAAGAGAAAGCCAACTGGGCGTGTCGGCAGCTCGCCTGCGTACCACTGCATCGGCAACAACAGCTATACATCCAGAAGCAAGAATGCGCGCCGCATCCAATGATCGTGTCACGGTCACGGAAAGTGCTGTGCATGCTAAATGGCGTGATGTGCGCCGCAATAGGTCAAGGAGGTCAACTTGAGTCTCGCGCCGAATTGGACTCCGCCGCCAAAAGCACCCTGTTGCGGGCATCTGCGCTCCAGTCACTGCATTGTAGAGAGGTTGCGGCAGCGGTAGCACGCGTGTGAGAGTATGCATAAGGAGCGCAAAACGCATGAGGTAAGTGTGACGGATCAGGTGGGCCTGATTTGCAAGAAGGCTGCACACATCACTAGTGCGGCGCAAGAGATTTGCAGCCGATTCATAGCTGTCAATGGTGTCCGGTACCATGCTTAGTTCGACGGGCAAGGTTATTGGTGGAATTAGGGCCGCTCCCGCGAGGGAACTAACGTCAGTATCACGGCGGAAGCGACCAAAGAGTGGAAAACACGCCCCACCGGGTGCTATGAGCCCACCCAGCGCACTTCTGTAAATGCAAGCAGCCGAGGCTGCCGCGCGCACGCCATCATCCAATGATAGGGACGCCTCCAGAGCTGCACGTCTCTTGTCCAGCGCGATGCAGCAATCGAGGCAGACTTGAAGCGACCTTTCGCCGACTAGTGATCCATCCTCGGATGCTCGCTCCGCGCATTCGCGTGCAACACTCTGGCATGCACAGTCGAGCACCGCCGCATCACATGCCGACAAAGAGGACGCGTGATCGAGGTCACGCTGTGCCATGACCAGGAGCTGAAGCCGTGTGAGTGTGAGGTACCCGTCAGCTGCCGCGCTACATTCACCGATTAATAATGCTGCTTCGCGCAATGCAGAGGCAAGCAATGCGCCGCCTGCTGGATCGCCTCCACCCACGCCAGGGACCCAAGCTGCCGATGTACTAACGTTGGCCTGAACGGGCCGCACACCGTTGAGTGTGGGGAGGATGCGCTCATAGAATACGCAGGCATCGTGCATCGCCTACAGATATTGCGATATTGGTGTACATTCGCCCCAAAGATTTCCCATGCGGCGAATACCTCACGCGACACTGGTGCATTGCGTGCGGAAAGACGAGAAGTCGGTAGAAGATGAACCAGATTCCTCCATCCTGTAACTTTTCCTGGGGCACATCTGCTATCATGATGGCAGCACGGGACCAAAGTTCTGCATTTCCTGGGTCGACCTTAAGATCGTGATATCGTGCCGTTGCAACTCCGTCCCCACCCGCACCGCCCATACCACCGCTATTAATGAGTGCGCAATCAAAGGCACTTGGTCGATCTTGTCGCCGACGAAACGCCATGAGCACAATCGCCACTTGCGGAGGGTTCGTCCCTGATGCGGCGCCAAGCCATCCTAGTGGGAGGAGTACTACCTCACCTGGTTGAACGCGTGTCATTCGTGCACAGCAGTAGCAAGCAAGATCGTGTACACCAGCTGCGTCCTCCGCGCCTGCAAACCGCGCAACCCGCTCGCAGCTTACCACAAAGTCCTCTAGCATAACACCAAGCGTGGTCGCCGCCACCGTCTGTGGTGAAAAACTTAAAAGCGCAACGCGCGCGAGCTTTGCCGCAGCTCCAGCGTTGTGCAAAGCTTGCGCAGCTGGCATCATTTCGTGATCCGAAAGCTTCTGCATGAGACCTCGATGTGCCAGCGTCAATCCCGCAAACCTACGCAAATCTCTATAGGCCGTGTCTACTGTCGACAGGGCAACGCCGCTCTTGATGGCACGCATCTAGGCGGTATGTTGCACAGTCAACTACCTTGGTCTTGCCTTGCGTCAAATTCGCGGCCTTTCCAGCCTGTACTGCCGAATCTCCCCTTGCAACGACGGGTGTGTACGTCCTATAAGAGTAGCACTATCATGTGAGCTTCATGCGTAAATCACTACAGAAATGAGCCAGCACTGCGCCATGCTCGACGTACGAGCGGGGAAATTCACCACGTTGAGTGCCGGAATCATCCTCACCAACGAGCCACTGGCCGCGCTCAGCTGATGACTGTGTAAACAGCTCCACGACGCAAGTCCATCTCGTCGCTCCGAGATGCTGAGAAATCGTAAAGAGCACGCACATACCTTGTAGTTTCCTCGAGAAGTGTAGGTGGCGCGCATGGGACTGACGTAGACCTATCAGGCAAACAAGTTTTCCCCATCGAAAATTATTCAGCGGACAGTGGAGATGTAACAGCAGCCTGTCACTCAACATATGACCCCTTGCGAGGGTCGTCCCTGTGTTCGGTTCATGCTCGGAACGAGACGTTTCACATGCTGTCTCTGTCGGTCGTTTCAGGTTATGCGCTTGCGTGGCAAGCTGAGTTTTCTTCAAGTCTGGCGGCAGGGTTTCGGTTGAAATAGCTCTTTCTCTACAAATATCACAAAAAGATGAAGGGAAAAAGCCTCGCTTACCGCCGATCTCGCCCTTCCACCAATCACCGGGCTCGCGTTCGGTGATCACTGTTATTCGAGCGCCTGCCTGGAAGGTGAGCTCCGTCTCGCTCTGACCCAGGAAGTCATGTTTTGCAATCGCGGTGATACCGCTGCTCATAGCCAATATGGCGCAAAATGAGCACCGAAGGATTACATGTACAAGCAAGCACCGGGATAAGCCGGGGACCCTGGCCAATAGTGATTGGCGCCGTTTGGGATGCACGTGGTACCGAGGAAATCGCAAGGGCCCTGAAAGGCGTCGATAGTGGCCTTGACATTTTACAGCGGCGTCGTCCTTGGGACGCTGTGGCCTGCGAAAGACACGGCAAGTTGCAGTCAGCATACTCCGACGACTCCACGCAATTAAGCGCCATGTCCGCCGCCGACATCGCGCGGTCCCTCGCAGGGATGCTGCATTTGCATGTGACCAGTGGTTGCTGGAGGTCGCCACGTACTTCGACCCCGCATGCGGACAATCAAAGTGCGCTTGGCGATAAGCCAGCTATCTAGGGTGCCTACATTCCGCTCCTTGGGCTATGCTACCCTAACTCGGGACTATGCTATCCTCCCTATGCTGGGACGCTCATACTGACCTATGCTGGCTATGCTAAGTCTGCCTTATACTGGCTATGCTCATGCTATACTATGCTGGTGCTTCATACTAGCATACTCGGATTCTAACACTCCAAAGCCAGGTCGTCCTCGTCCTCGACCTTTGTAGCTGCACATGTGCATATCATTTTGTCCTGTAAACATTGGGCCTGGTAAATCTGAGCCTTCGTCAGACCACGAGTGCAATCATGGGTCCATGCAACTCAAGGTCCGGTAGGGTTAATATTTACTCAGAGCAATCGACGCCGATCACGGAAATCTCGCAACATGGCCCAGGGACTGTGGCGTTTCTGGAAAGATATGAGTGCTCTTTTACCCCGACCGAAATCCTCGGTTCGGGTGCTTATTCAACTGTCTACAAGTGTGTTGATAAAGAGAGTCGTGAGGAATGTGCCGCGAAAGTTATCCAATTAAAGAAAATGGCGGAGGATGAAGTCGATGCCCTTCACATCGAGGTTGGGATACTGGAAGAGATAAAGCATCCAAACGTAGATGGTGGTACGCTATGGTTCCGGCCAATCAGATCCACATAGGTTTTAACTATCCATGGTTTTTTCGAGGACATCGCTACGACGAATAATCCGTCGCCCAAAGCCTACATTGTTACTGAGATTCTTAGAGGAGGAGAACTATTTGATCGAATAGTCGAGCGCACATACTATTCAGAGTACGAGGCACGCAAGGTCATCCAGATTCTGTACCAGATCATCGTTATACAGCCGGTTCTAGCTCACAGTCATACATGTCATAGGCTTGATGTGATGTGTCATCTTCATGCCAAGAATATTGTGAGTTCGCTCTTGTAACAAAACTTGTTAACTCGGCATGAATCAGGCTCATCGCGACCTGAAGCCTGAGAATCTTCTCCTGAAGTCCATGAAAGACGACCACGAACTCAAGGTCGCGGATTTTGGGTTTGCGGCACACACCGCTAACAATTCCCTTGCGACACAGTGTGGGACTCCGAATTACGTTGCACCAGAGATTCTTGAGAATCGGCAATATGGTTGCGCTGTCGACATGTGGTCAGTAGGAGTACTTACATTTGTCTTGCTTGGCGTGAAATCTGAGCTCAACGCGTCGAAGGCCTATAAGATCCAGATCAATTTTGTAGGTGGTTATCCACCATTCCACGATGACAATGAAGCCAAATTGTTCGAGCGCATTAAATGCGCGCAGTTTAACTTTGACCCCCAGTAGTGCTCGGCGCAGCAAGCTTTTCGAAGGGACGATTGTGTCTTCGTCTAGGTACTGGGATGTTGTGAGCGCAGATGCCAAGGATTTTATCCGAAAGTTGCTAAATAACAATCCCGGTGTGCGCCTTACCGCTGAGCAGGCCATTCTTCACCCATGGCTCGTGAAGGGTGATCATGAGTTGATCACAGTTCATCTCGAGAAAACGATGCGCCAACTCAGGAATTTCAATGGGAAGCGGAAATTCAAAGCGGCCGCTAGGATGGTCCTCACCACGCGAAAATTCTCGAGCGTGCGTTGCCCCGCCGCTAGGCCACCCTCCTAGGAGGGGGGGGGGGCTTGGACCGGGGCTGGTTATTGTACCTCAGGATAGTGCCGGAGGCGGCCTCCGGGTTTTGTACGTACAGAGCCGGTGTTCTGTGTTTTATAGTGCGCTTTGGGGCTTTTGGGGGTTAGGAGAACGGAGTTCCGCGAGGTCGCGCGTGTCGGTTTACGCGACAGCATCACC